TGAATAATGCTGCAATGCACATGGAAGTGCAGACATCTCTTTGACATACTGATTTCAGTTCCTTTGAGTTTGTATCCAGTAATGGGATTGCTGGATCAAGTGGCTATTCTATTTTTATTAATAGTTTTTTAAGGAACCACTATACTTTTTTTGAAAATGGCTATATTAATTTATAATTTCACCAGCAGTTTATAAGGATTACCTTTTCTCCACATTCTTGCCAACACTTTTTATCTTTCCTTTTTTTTCTTTAACTATTTAAAATTAATTTAATTAATTTATTTATTTTGGCTAATTTCTTTCTTTCTTTTTTATTTAATTTTTTATTTTTATTTTTAGTAGAGATAGGGTCTCGCTGTTGCTCAGGCTGGTCTCAAACTCCTGACCTTGAGCGATCCTCCCGCCTCAGCTTCCCAGTGTGCTAGGATTACAGGCATGAGCAACACTTGTTATCTTTCATCTTTTTTTTTTTTTAAGAGACAGGGTCTCCTTGTGTCACTCAAGCTGTAATGCAGTGGTACTCAGGTATCAAGAAACTCAAAAAGAAGGTACTTCCTGAATTGGGATATAACAGTCAGGTTGGCTGCTCTTAATCACTTCTATTTGGTATTGGAGATTGGAGAAAGCCTTATTAGAAATTAGAATGTGCTTGATTCCTACACCTGATTTCACCTGTGATTATAGGTTTTTCTTCCTTCTTTCTCTTACAGTCCTGTACCTTTTCCTCCATACCCCTATCCTCCTAATATAGTTATATCATACTTAAAAAAAAATCCATTTGGTATTTTCATAAGTATGACTGTGTAAATACTATTTGTTAAGCCAATATCTATGACTGTATTGTGTTTCTTATAGAACATTTAATTTTTCCTGGAGTTAATAAATAATCTCATTTTTTTCATTTGCTTAGTTTTCTTTTAACCCATGGCTAAATCTCCCACATCTTCGAGTGCCTTTGTAAAATCTCTCTCAATATGGTATTCTATACTTTCAAACCTGTGAGTTAATTTATCTAATTTATCTTTTCTTCCTTCCCCTTCCCCACCCCAAATAACTATCTTGGATCCTTTGTCACATTCTTGTCTGGATTTGTTGTCTTCTAGGCCTTCTATACATTTATTTTTGTGACTCTGTTTCATCAAAATTCTGGGGATTCTCTTAGTTTTTTTCATATATTAAATCCCTTCTTTACTCGTTTCCATGCATCATCCTAGGGTTTCTTCCTGATTTTGATGGAATATATATTCTCTAGTAAGTTCCTGAGATTAAATTTTTAGAGATTTTTGCCTCTAAAATTATCAGTGTCTAAATTCTACCAGTGCCAATCATAATTCCGAAAGATACAATCTCTAATTCCAAAAGACACAATCCTAAACACAATTTTGGGATTTCATAAATGTTGAAATCCCAAATGACCAAAATCTCTAAATTCTAAAAATCTCTAATGTCTAAAATCCCCAAAATCACAATCCTGAAAGGCAAAATTCTGGGGAAAGGATTTTTGGTTGCATGCAGGATAGCTGCATCTTGTTTGGTGGAACCATTACCTTTTTATTGTATTCATTTGAAAATTAAGTATGGTTTAAGGCAGGGGTCCTCAAACTTTTTAAACAGGGGGCCAGTTCACTGTCCCTCAGACCACTGGAGGGCTAAACTATCATTTAAAAAGAACTATGAACAAATTCCTATGCACACTGCACGTATCTTATTTTGAAGTAAAAAAACAAATGGGCAAAGACACCCACATGTGGCCCGCGGGCCGTAGTTTGAGGATGCCTGGTTTAAGGAGATGATTGTGGGTGCCAAATTGACAGGGGGTGGACTTGTGGATTTAATTTTAGGGGTCAACTTGACTGGATTAAGGAATAACTAGAAACCTGGCAAAGCATTATTTTGGGTTTGTCCGTGAAGGAGTTTCCAGAGGAGATTAGTGCGTGAGTCTGAGAGGACTACGTGGGGAAGATCTGCTCTCGTTGCTGGCCGCCATCCAATCTGCCGGGTGCCAGGAGAGAACAAATACAGACTACAAATTGGGTTCTCTCTCAGAGCTGGGACAGACTTTTCTTTTTTTGCCTTGGACATCAGAACTCGAGGCTTGCCAGCCTTTAGACTCCAGGACTTACACTAACGGCCCCCAGACTCCTGAGGCTTTTGGCCTCAGATTAAAAGCTGGTTCGGCTGTCTTGGTTCTGAGGCCTTTGGACTGAGCCATAATCCTGGCAGCCCATGGTCTCCAGTTTGCAGACAGTCTGTCTTGGAACTTTTGAGCCACCATAATTACATGAGCCAATTCCCCTAATAAATCTCTCATATAGCTATATACATATCCTATTGGTTCTGTCTCTCTGGAGAACTCTGACTTATACAGATTTGGTATTGGGGAAGCCAAATAGTACTCCTTACTATATTCCTTACAACACAATGGAGGACATCTGTGAAATCGTTCCTTCTAAAAGGCTGTGAGGTTGGGCGCGGGGGCTCACGCCTGTAATCCTAGCACTCTGGGAGGCTGAGGTGGGTGGATTGCTCTAGGTCAGGAGTTCAAAACCAGCCTGAGCAAGAGCGAGAGACCCTGTCTCTACTATAAATAGAAAGAAATTAATTGGCCAACTAATATATATAGAAAAAAATTAGCCGGGCATGGTGGCGCATGCTGTAGTCCCCAGGTACTCAGTAGACTGAGGCAGGAGGATTGCTTGAGCGCAGAAGTTTGAGGTTGCTGTGAGCTAGGCTGACGCCACAGCACTTACTCTAGCCTGGAGACTCTGTCTCAAAAAAAAGAAAAGGCTGTGTGATAGGTGTATGAGGCTACGTAATAGTGAAAAATAAAAGTTTACAAGCTAATTATTATTGATGTTATGAAAGCAGAAAATCATTTTTGCAATAGCCAAGCAATAACCAGACATTCAGATGGACAGTATATATTCATAAAATTTGTAGACTACAACCACTCTCCAAATACACATACAGTGTTTCAAAAATCATAGAAGTAAAAACACAGGCAAAAAATACAAGAAACATTCCCTGCTTGTATTCAGTCAGGTACAACTTATGCCCCTTCACACATAGCGCCAGTTCGCTATGGTATGTATTTCATCTTTGCATCATTTCTAATACTGGAGGTATAAATTGTGTAAAAGGCTTTTAGAGAGTTCTAATTTGTTTTATGCATTTTTTTTTCACATTTGACTCCATGAATGTGCATTATCACAACGTTGACTTTGTGTGTAAGCATTGTACATATACATAAAAATGTTGAAACTTTCTTAGTAAATGAAGAGATGTCCTTTTTGTATTAATACATCTACATTTGTGAAAAAAAGAATTTCTCAAGATATAGCTCTTTGGGCAACTGCGTATGTGGTGGTGACCCGTTGCAGTTTTTGATTGATCTTATCAGTAGGTAGAGGTAGGTTGTCTGATATTTCAGATAACCAGAGTTATAAAGCTGCTTGTATACAATTACCAACCATAGTGATATATGTTTATTGATAGATATGTTTATGTATTTTGCTTTTTGACCTATTTCTTTATGAATACAGTTCATCTCATAAATGATGTACTTGTATGACTGACACTGGTATACCTGTTTATGCTTGTAAAAATATGTGATTATTGCCTATTTTATTGTGTAAAATGGCCTATGAAGTGTTCTGTCATGTTTTATGTTTCTCAAATAAATCCCCTTTAAAAATGTAAATAAATGTCTTTTTTTTTTTTTTTTTTAGATAGATTCTCATTTGTTGCCCTGGCTAGAGTGCAGTGGCATGATCATAGCTCACTGCAACCTCAAACTCATGAGCTCAGGTGATCCTCCTGCCTCCTGAGTAGCTGGGACTACAGGCATGCACCACAACACCCAGCTAATTTTTCTTTCTTTCTTTCTTTTTTTTTTTAAGTATAGGCAGGGTCTTGCTCTTGCTCAGGCTGGTCTTCCTGCTTTGGTCTCCCAGAATGCTAGGATTACACATGTGAGCCACCACACCTGACCAATAAATGTCTTTTAAATAACATTTTAAAAATTGTTTTTTCCAGAATTTTATTTTTAGGATTTTTATCATCTGGAATTGTGATTTTGGGGATTTTAGACTTTAGAGATTTTGATCTTTCAGGATTTCAGCATTGCAGATTATGGCATTTGGGATGGTGTCTTTTGAGATTATGGCCTTTTGACTGGACATAGCATTCAAAATGGAAAGATAAATATCTCTTTTTTTTTTTTTGCTTATTTAAAAAAATTTTCTATCTATCTATTTACGTATTCACTTTAAGAGACAAGGTCTTACTCTGTTGCCCAGGCTAGAGTGTAGTAGCATAGTCATAGCTTATTGCAGCCTCAAACTTCTGAACTCAAGTAATTCTCCTGGCTTAGACTCCTGGGTAGCTGGGACTACAGGCATGCACCACCATATCCAGCTAATTTTTAAAAACTGTTTTTTTAGAGACAGGGTCTTACTGTGTTACCCAGGCTGTTTTTCTCATCTTTAACTTCATTTTAAAAAGTAAAACCACATGCCCATGAACCTAAATTTAAAAGGTTCAAGGGGTTATAGATAAGGGAACTAACTATATGGCATGAAGGAGTCTTTTGGGATGATGGAACTATTTTGTATCTGATTATAATAGTAGTTATTCCAGTTTCTATGTGTTAAAATTAATGGAACCATATACCAACAGAAAAAATTCAATTTACATGTATGATAGATTAAAAAATGAAAAACAAAATGAAAGAATTTAAAAGTACAAAAAGGTATCTTTTCTTTCTCTCCTCTTATCCTTTCAGCTTTCCTTTCTGGAAGAAACCACTATGACCAATTTCTTATTTATTTTCTTAATTACTCTTAAACATTTAAACATTCAGGAGTAAATTAGGTGGAAGAGAAAGGAACTTAAATTTTTTTAAGTATTTTTCTGAGAATGCTTAAATTATTGCTCTTAGAATACATCTAAATATTATTAATCAGTCTTGGCACTAATTTCAAAAATTATTTCTTCCACAGTTGGTAAACATGAATTGACTGGGCATAAAGTTGCTGTGAAGATACTCAACCGACAGAAGATTCGAAGCCTTGATGTTGTAGGAAAAATCCGCAGAGAAATTCAGAACCTCAAGCTCTTCAGGCATCCTCATATAATTAAACTGTAAGCTCTGTTTATGTTAAATATTGTCCAATTATCTTTTCATTATTTTTGTTAACCTACTTAATCTGACAAGTAAGAAAGATGACTGACACTTCTTTCTGTTTTCTGAGGGATTTGAAAAGTTTCTTCCTGTTCATGTATTTATCTAAGCCCATTCATGGTCAGTTAAGCCTATGTTCATGTTTTGCCCTTGTGCTTATCAGTTGTTATCCTTCTCATTCTTTCCTGTCTTGTGGACAGATGCCCTTCTGTGAGATAATGTTCAATGCCTCTGTTGCTGTAAAACCAGCAATAATTTGCTAGTAAAAACTCCTGACTTCTAGGCTGGGCGTGGTGGCTCATGCCTGTAATCCTAGCACTCTGGGAGGCTGAGACAGGAGGATCACTTGAAGTCATGAGTTCAGGATCAGCTTGAGCAAGAGTGAGACCTTATCTCTACTAAAAATAGAAAAAATTAGCCAGGCATGGTGGTAGGTGCCTATTTTAGAGGCTGAGGCAGGAGAATCACCTGAACCTAGGAGTTGGAGGTGGCAGTGAGCTATGATGATGCCACTGTACTCTAAACTGGCAACAGAGTGAGACTCTGTCTCAAAAAAGGAAAAAAAAAGAAAAGAAACAAACAAAAAACCCCCTCTTGACTTCTAAATTTCCACATGATGTCAGTTAGCCTCATTGAAGATAATGTAGTAGAAAGGGTTTTCCCCCAAGCTGCTTATATCTGACCATACAAAATAACAAAGTTTCAGGAATCTAATATTTCAATAAGGCAGTAATCTTATAGTTGTTTTGCAATTGCCAGTTGTAGGGTCTACCAATAACTTATTTACTGCTCAGCTTCTGCTTTATTATGTAGGCTATAAATTAAACCTGCTTAGGCTTTTCTCCTGAACTGGCTACCTCAAAATTTGTTTTACTCTCATCTCTTCTCATCTGTTAAGGTGCATGGTTTTAAATACTGTCCATATGCTGATGACACCTAAATGTACATCTTCTGCTTTGAAATCTCTTCTGTGAACTCCAGATTCATATGCCCACTGTCAGCTTTACATCTCCATTTAGATGTTCACAGATATTTAAACATAGCCCAGCTGAAGTCTTTATTATGACTCTCCCAAAATTCTCTCCCACAGTTTTCACTTTCTTGGCTAATAGCCAGTTACCCAGGGCAAAAACTTAGGAACCATCCTTAACTTCCCTATTTCTCTCATTTCCTACCATCCATTCCATCTCTTCTTCAAAATGTACCTAGGATCCATTTCTCAGCTCCTTTATTGCCATCACCCTGGAATTAGCCACCTTTTTCGTCTCTCTCATGGACTCCTGCAGTAGCCTCCTGCTTCCACCTTTATCGTACGCAGTCAGTTCCTCACATTGCTGCTGTAGTTCTCCTTTTAATATGACAGATCACATGGGTACTCTACTTAAAACCTTCAGTAGCTTTTCATTTTCCTTGAAGTAAAAGCCAAATCTTCCTCCTGGTTTGTAAAATTCTGTGTCCTTGGCCTTCAGTTATACCTTTGACTACATCCTATTTCTCTCTCCCAGCTTACTCTGCTCTAGTCTTCTTACCATTCCTCAAACGTACCAAGCAGGCCTCTACCTGGGTACCTTTGTATTTGCTGTTCCCTTTTCCTGGTTCACCTCCTCTAGATAATGGTATAATTTGCTCCCATTCTTTCTTTAGACTCTGCCCAATTTTTACTTTATCAAAGGCTTTCCTTGAATGCTCTGTATGAAAAGATTTCTCCTTAGTTTGCTTTATTTCTCTTCATAGCATGTTCCACCACCTAAGATACTGCTTATTTATTTAGTGTCTGTTTCCTGGCTCCTAAAACATGAACTCCATGGGAACAGACAATTTTTATTCCCTTTAGTTTTCCTAGCTCCTAGCACAGCACCTGGCATATTATAAGTGCTTAGTAAATATTTATTGAATGAGTGAATATACATGTTATAATATTGGTAGACAATGTTTTCTCTCACCAGGTACCAGGTCATCAGTACACCATCTGATATTTTCATGGTGATGGAATATGTCTCAGGAGGAGAGCTATTTGATTATATCTGTAAAAATGGAAGGGTAAGCTGTTCTGATTTAATCCCATATATATTTTGTAACTCCCCTTTATCCCTTACTAGCATCAGAATGTCAGAGAGCAATAGAGGTCTATTTAATAACCAGTTCCCTTACTCATATCATAATGAACCTCACAGTTTGTATATTTTCTCAACGTCACATGATTTATTAATGACAGAATTGGATTGAGATCCCAGAACTCATAATCCTCAGACTGATGCTTTTAGGGTATACACATACATTTAAATTATATCTTAAAGTATGTAATTAATCCTTATAAAATATATTATTACTTAAAGTCTAGGCCTGCTGTAGCCACATTGAAATTGCATTCATTTTTTGGTTTTAGAAATATGATGTACTTGAAGTAGTAAGAACAGGCTCCATTCAGGAGTTAGGAATTAGATATAAAGAATTTAGAGCTGGAAGGAACTTTAGAAGACATTTTGAGCACTACTTTAAGTTACAGATTCAAAAACTGAAAATTGCTCCCTGCTCATACTTTATTTCATACCCGGGTTACATGGTATGCAAAAGCCCCTTTCTGGAAGAGCTGTATCTAGCACCAAGAAGACAATTTTTTTACTCCTAACCTTAATTATGTTATTCACTCATTCATTTGTTCTGTATAGCATATCTGTTTACTTTCGTCAAAATCAAACTCATTAGCCAAGTTAATTTTGATTTTACTATTTCTTAACGTGGTTCATTTCTATTTGAGGCATCCCCCTTCTCTTCACCAGAAAAAAAAGTTCTGCCTAGAAAAATGGTTATAGGTACAAGTTGCGTTGACATCTTTTTCTTATCTTTTCTTTCTGTTTTTATTTCTTTGTCATTTTGTTTTACCTGTGGGTATTCAGTTTTACCTATTGAATATTAAAATTTCAGCTGCCATATTTTCTATTTCAAAGATCATTCTTCTTTTCTGAAATTTTCTTTTCTTTAAAAAGTCTGATGTAATAACCAAGTCTGTCTGAGGATCACAGTTTTTTAAAGTTTTCTTCTGTTCCATATTGTTTATGTACCTTTTGTGCTCTCTGTTCCTATTTTTTTTCTGTTCATTTTATTTGTCTTTGTCCTTTGTGTGTGGCCTTTCCTCAAATATCTGGTGATTCTTGGTTATCCACTTAATATTTAAGAGTGAAGTACTAAATACCAAGTTCATGGGAGTGGAACTTGTTGATTGGTGGGCTTTCCCATAGGTTGAATAGGTAATTGACTTGTTCATATTATTAGGGTACACCAAATGTCAGTAATCACAAATATGTTTTCTTGAATCAGATATTCATTCCAAAAGAAATCTTCCAATTTCCTTGGAGGCATTAGCTTAGCTGTCAGTGCCTCAGAAGCTGAGTGGGGAAAAGGGCTGCAAGTCTCATTAGTTAGTATGCTCACTTTCACTTAATCCCCATGTTTTCTTATGATCCCTGCCTTGGTGTCCTTGAGAACAGAGTTGGATCAGCCTTACAAGTTGTAAGTAGGTCTTATTCCTCAGTAGGGGTGAGTTTAAAAGCTTATTTTCAGTCATTTTTCCTGTTTTCAGCCTACTTCTCACTTCCTTCAGCAGTTCCCAATGTTTCCGATTTCTAAGCCTTTCCAGGGTTCTATGTGCAGAGAAGTTTATGTCTTATTGGTTTCCACCCCTGTGACCTTCAGTTTCAGATTTCTCCTGTTGGCTCAGTCTTTATTGTTGTTCAACCACTGTCCAGCTTGGTGACTCCTCTTGATTACTGCTGTCTCTTTTCTTGTTCTTTTTGTCTTTATATGCCTCATTTACACTGATGTCATTTAAGTGATGTTTCAAGGATTGTAAACAAAAGATTCAACCTGCCATGTTTAATTGGAAATATGCTTTGACTTTTGTAATCTTTCTTTATAGATATCCCCTGCTTCATCCTTTATACTGTTATTTGTTGTGAGTAGAGTATAATTTTTATTTTTGTAGCCTATCTAGTTATTTTACCTCTTATATTTTGTTTAACCAGCTAAGTTTTCTCCTATTCTTTCATATTTTGAACAGATACTCTTTTTTTCTCCATAAACCTCCATTTTCTCTAGAAATGAAAGTGTTAGATTGCTAAAGGATTAGTATTTTTTTTCTAGAGGAAGGGTATCTCATAGTACTTCAATAGTTTTAAATTTTCTTTAAAAAGAAATTACTAGTTTGTCTTTTATCCCAGATTATCCAGGCTATTTAAGGTGTGAAAGTCTAGTTTTCGAATGTTAATTCATGACCTGTGTTAGAGAATTGCATTTTAGAGTCTTTTGCCTAGAGGATTACTGGCTTATTAATTAAATATGACTTCTTGGGAGCAGGCATGTCCACGTAATGTTTATCACTTATGTTGAAAAAATCATAAAAAAAGAAAATATGGATAGAGAAGTTTTAAAAGAATATTTAAAAAAATGTAGTTGCAGCATAAGATGCCTTTTCATTACACACTAAAGGTAAATGCTTTTATATTTTATAAAATGAATTAAGGTTTTTTGTTAAAATTAAAACACTTTTTATTTCAGGAGATATAACAACATGGTTGTTTGCAAGTTCAGTTCACGAACAGTGCTTAAATGTTACTTCCTTATAGTCTAAAATAGTATTCCCCACTCCAACATCATTCTGTGTACTCATATTTTGCTTTTTTTTTCTTCAAAGCATTATCATTCCTTGACATTACATTTATTTGTCTATTTTCATCAATTAGGGCTTTAGTTTTATTCACTGCTATATAATGAATTATCTAAAACAGTGTGTAGCATATTGAAGGTATTCAATAAATATTTGTTAAAGGAATGAAAGATTAAACATTTCCAATTTATAGGACAAAACATGCCAAGTTTCAAGTACAAATTTGAACCATTTGAAATAGCTAATGAGATGTAAAGGAAGGCAATCTAATACAATATAGTCATATGTAAATTATATTATTAGAAAGTGAAGTTACTGATTTGGTTTCTAGGATCTGTTTAGCATTTCTGTTTTGTGCTGCATGTTATCTCCTCCCCATGTCAAACATATCTCATGAGTAAAAATCATTTGGAAGGTTTTATGCATTTTGCAATTTTATAGGTTGGGGAATTATAGGTAAATGAATTTATTTTGAAAGACACACCTTTAAGATGCCTCTCTGCTTTTCTTAGCTGGATGAAAAAGAAAGTCGACGTCTGTTCCAACAAATTCTTTCTGGTGTAGATTATTGTCACAGGCATATGGTGGTCCATAGAGATTTGAAACCTGAAAATGTCCTGCTTGATGCACACATGAATGCAAAGATAGCTGATTTTGGTAAGGATATTTTTATAGTTTCATATGTTCACTATGTTTAGCAAACATAAGTAGCATTCTTCAGATAACTTTCATGTATTAGACTGAGTATCTCAAAGTATCCATACTTTTTGTCTATGAACGTACAGAAGGAGAAAAGCTAAGGAATTCTCTTTTCTTAGCTTTATGTCTTTAAAATTGAGTTTTATGATAGTTGGTAAACAATTCCAATTCAAGTTGGCAGCATTAGCGAGATCATTTGAAAAGAGAAGGTTGCAAACTTGTTTCTAGTATGTTCTTTTGGTCAAGTATGGAAAGAAAAAGAAACTGGGATGGAATTATTCAAAACTTTGAAAGCCAGAAGGTGAACTATTTGAGGAAAATTATCTTTAAAAAATTTAAATGATAAAAAACCATAATTTTACCTTGAAGAACATTACTTTGATTGTTAAAAATGAATTTATTTTTCCATTTTTCTATATAAATTGCCACTGACATTATTAAATCGAAGAGAAAAATGAATTTCTGCAACTCTTACTTTGGTTGGTTTTAATTCAATTGAGAGGAAATTCTTTCCCTTTATATTAGTAACAGTAGTCTACAAAGAAAAAATTTTAAAAAGAGGAAATTCTTATAAATATTTTCCTAAGTTTTGAATAAATAAATTCACACACATTTATATATGTGTGTATATATATATTTAAATATATAATGCCAGGTGCAGTGGCTCACACCTGTATTCCCAGTGACTTAGGAGGCTGAGTCAGGAGGATTGCTTAAGGCCAGGAGTTTATGACTAGTTTGAGCAACATAGCGAGACCTTGTCTCTAAAAAAATAAAAATAAAAAATTAACCAGGCAAGGTGGCATGTGCCTGTAGTACCAGCTGCTCAAGAGGCTGAGGCAGGAGGATTGCTTGAGCCCAGGAGTTTGAGGCTGCAGTGAGCTATAATAATGCCACTGTACTCCAGCCTACGTAACAGAGTGAGATCTCATCCATAAAATAAGATAAGATAAAATAAAATAAAATGAAGTAACTCTATAGAGATTCACTGAACAGTGCCAGCCAAACCTGAACTGGTTTTTTTTGTTTGTTTGTTTTGGTTTTGGTTTTGTGGCTGGCTAAATTATTTTAATTCCTTATTCATAAGTTGTCATGATTTTATAGAGTGTATTTCTAAGGGGGCAAAAGTTTCATTTTGGAGTAAAACTATAAGGTAACTTAGAGATTCAAAATTATTACGGTTATTTTTTGAAGAATCTGAACAGGGTGAATAGAAACTTTGAATTTTAATCCTTCTGTTCTAGATTATTTTTCCCTAGCAATTTCTGTATTAATTAAAGTTAAATATACCAAGTTTATTCTAGTAAGCAATAGCTTAATGTATACTCATTAAAAACTCCAACAATGCACTAACTTTATATGAAACAGATTGCACATTTTAGGGCATAATGGCAGAATATTTGGGAACAGTAAAGATTATAGAATTTTGTTGAAGAACAAAATGATGATTTATCACTTTAATGGAAACTCAATTTTATTATTTAATGGGGTTTTGTTTTTATTTTTGTCCTTGGGAAATCTTGAGTAGCTGATTTTGTGCACTTTCAGGTCTTTCAAACATGATGTCAGATGGCGAATTTTTAAGAACAAGTTGTGGCTCACCCAACTATGCTGCACCAGAAGTAATTTCAGGAAGGTAGTATTTGATACCCTCCTATCACCAAAACATTTGTAATTGTCTTTTGCTTCTAGATTTTGTTAATTAATAGTATCATATTTAATTCTAGTGAAAGGAAAGAAATATAAGGCTTAGTCTTTTCTTATCCAGGAGTATTCATTTTAAGAATAAAACATTGTAAGTGACTAAGGGTTAAGGACTCCATTTATAGAGGAGAATGTTGGTTTAAGGAAAAGAGTATTTTAATTTTTTTCCTGTTGGAAGAAATTACAGGTTTAAAACTAGTGAGTTTTAAAGGTAGGTAAGACACTGAAAACTTGAATAATACGGAAATATATAGTAGTTAGAAATGGTTTACAATTTACTTAAATAATTAAATGTGTAATATGTAGCTTTTTGTTTTCTTTTTTCCTTAAATGGCTTTTCGTATTAGCTTTAGTTTAGACTTCATTGATGTTGAAACTTCAGTCTTTAAATCTTTTGGAGACTAATACTGTAAGAATTCTAACCTCTCAGTTTACTAACCACTAGCAGTGAGAACGTGAATGTATACTCATTAATGTATACTCATATACTGTACAGTGCAGCTTTTTGAATAGTTTAGAAAACAGAAGAGTTTAATTTTTTAGAAAGTAACTCCTTGTTTTTTATTAAACCACTGAAATTGAAAATAGAGTCGGCAGGGCGTGGTAGCTCACGCCTGTAATCCTAGCACTCTGGGAGGGCGAGGCAGGCGGCGGATCGCTCAAGGTCAGGAGTTCGAGACCAACCTGAGCAAGAGCGAGACTCCGTCTCTACTAAATAAAGAAATTAATTGGCCAACTAAAAATATATAGAAAAAATTAGCCGGGCATGGTGGCGCATACCTGTAGTCCCAGCTACTAGGGAGGCTGAGGCAGGAGGATCGCTTGAGCCCAGAAGTTTGAGTTTGCTGTGAGCTAGGCTGACGCCAGGGCACTCTAGCTCGGGCAACAGAGTGAGACTCTGTCTCAAAAAAAGAGAAAAGAAAATAGAGAAGCTTTTTACTAGCTTTTATAATAAACTTTTAATAACTTTTCATCTAAATCATTTTTTTTAATATTTCACATCTTGATTAACTCAGAATACAGAAATATTGTAGTATTTTCTATTTTCATAATCTTGTTTGCCTAGATAGACTGCTCAAAGAAATGAGATTTGTTTAAAGTCATGGCCATGAATAAGGCAGGAGTAGCTAATTTTAGATTTATCAAGTTTCATCATTATCTTTTTATATGAACTTACTGTCTAAAATTCAGTTTAAAATTATTTTATTTGTGTTTATCTTAATTCTTCTGGAAAGAAAACAATTCGGTACATGGATACTGTGGGCACTGTTAATTAAATAAATAAAAAGAAATGTGCTGCAATTATGCATATATTACTGAAATTTAATTTTCCAACTTTGGATAAGGTCTTTCTATAAGGTCTAGGTGAATGGGAACTTTTGCTTTCAAAAGAGTATTTATTGATCAGTTCAACAATGTATCAATTTAAAGAAATCTTTTCCCTGAAGCCATACTTTGAATAGGTGATCTAACTAGTCTGCAGCTAGTTAGTGCAGTTGGCTACAGTGTACTGCAAATAGAACTTTAAAATCTTCTGTGAATCAGTGAGGTTGGCTTTCTTCCACAGCCTCCGGCCCTTTTACCTTGGTGTAAGGGGTCTTCAGTTATAATGAATAGTGGGTACAGAGTCTATCATTAGAGAACATTCTCAGTTGAGGAAACATCATTTAATCTCTCCTTTAATTCAGCAGTGATATGTTTGTTCACAGTTTGGCCCTATTGGTTGGGTCCCTTGAGGGCTGTAGTAAAGTTGAATTTTACCATGGTCTGTAATTTACAAAACTTCTTAACTTGGTGTTCAAAGATAATACTGATGAAAATAAGATCTTTATGTGTAGTGTGCAGCAGTGGCTATAAACACCATCTTTTGATTACTAATTCTTTATGAAATATACATATTTGAAATTTTTGATTAATTGATTGCTTCTTAAGTTACAAATGATTATTTAATCCAATTGATATTTCCTGTTGCAGATTATATGCAGGCCCAGAGGTAGATATATGGAGCAGTGGGGTTATTCTCTATGCTTTATTATGTGGAACCCTTCCATTTGATGATGATCATGTGCCAACTCTTTTTAAGAAGATATGTGATGGAATCTTTTATACCCCTCAGTATTTAAATCCTTCTGTGATTAGCCTTCTGAAACACATGCTGCAGGTGGATCCCATGAAGAGGGCCACAATCAAAGATATCAGGTAATAAAGCAATTTGGAAATTGTTAGATCTATAATATCCATAATATAAGTTAACTAAAAGAAAAAGTTACAGAATAGTGTAATGTAAATTTTATGTGAAAATAATGCATAGACACATTTATCTATTTTAGATACTAAACAAGTTGCTTTAGAGAAGTAAGATTGGTAGGAGGAAAAGCATTCACTTTTTACTTATGCATCTTTATTTTGAGACTACTACAGTGAACATTATATTACTTTTTAAATTTTAAATAAAAAGCTAATGAAAAATAAAAAGGACCCAAGTGGAGTGTTAATGAAATTTTGTAGTAGTTCTTTATAATGAACTTTTAATAACTTTCATAGTATGCTTCATATTTGACTTTAATGTATTATTAGGATTAATATTTTTTAATAATAAATTCATTGCTCTTTCAGTTTTAATCTCATGAATTACGGTATTTTTTTTCCTCCTTAATCACAAGGAGTGAGAAAATTTTAATTGAATCAATGGTATGTTTTTTCTAGTAGTATATATTGAATCACATGAAATTGCTGTTTTGGTAAAAGCTACTCTTACCAATTTCATATGATTCAACCTAATAGTTTAAATAAAGCAGAAGTAATGATGACAGATCTTTTCAAATTTAAGTGAGCCATTTCTGAGGAAGACTTAAAAAATATATACTGCAAACTTTGTTTCTTCTACCATCATTTCCTTTCCTTCTTTTCCTCCCATGGAAATTTCTCTTTTGGTATGCTAATGGATATACCACATATTTCTCTTGGATCAAGGGAGAAGGAATAAAGAAATCAGATAGGGATCTAGGAATAGCAAATAGGAAAGCATTAGGGTGATGAACAAGGAAAGATTAGATGTGGAACTTGTACCTTGATTACTTTCCATTTACTCCATATGCTTTAGATTAGCCAAAAAAGAGACCATGAAAGGCAGGGTGTGATTTTACTACCAGAGGGAAAGGACAAATCATTCTCTATATTTTAAAATATCTAAGAAATGGTTTTGCTTATATTTTACATATTTTTTCCAATTAAGATGTAATATATAACAATTAGAAAAACACCAGAAAAATAGAGAAGACAATAAAACTAATCTTTAGTACCATCACCCAGAAGATATCATTGTTCATTTGGGTTTTTTCCTCTCTTGATTTTTTTTAGTTCTGTCATAGTTTTGACATAGGTCAGGTTAAAGAAGTCCTTTTATATTTGAGATTAGGGAATTGGAATAGGAAATCATTCGGAGAGCATATCCTTTTGAGTCCATAGAACTGGGTAGCAATCCTGGTTCTGCCATATACTGTCCTCGTGACCTTGAGCAAGTTCCTTGATATATTTTAACCTCAGTTCCTTCATTTAAAACAAAGGGATATTATTATCTTTGTAGAATTGTTTTGAGGATGAGGGAAGATAATGTATAGTGTATAGTGTTTAGTACTTACTGTGTTTAACTTAAGTGTTTAACACAATAAGTTCTCAATAAATGGTAGTTGTCTACTATTTTTGTTGTTACATTATTTTCACTTAATATTATATCAAAAGTGTATTAAAATGAAGTCCCATATTATGTTTTCTCTCTCAGCTGGAAATAAGCTGTTTTTTTTCATTGTTTGTCATTGTCATTCATTGTAAAACTTTATTTATTAATTTTGAGACAGAGTCTCGCTCAGTTGCCCGGGCTAGAATGCCATGGTGTCATCGTAGCTCACTGCAACCTCAAACTCCTAGGCTCAAGCAGTCCTCTTGCTTCTGCCTTCAGAGTAGCTGGGACTACAGGCATTCTCCATGATGCTGGCTAATTTTTTTTTTCTTTTCTATTTTTAGTAGAGACAGGTCTTGCTCTTGCTCAGGCTGGTCTTGAACTCCTGAGCTCAAACAATTTGCCCATCTTGGCCTCCCAGAGTACTAAGATTATTATAGGCGTGAGCTACCGCACATGACTTCATTCTAAAATTTTAAATAAAAGTGTAGACATTTCTTTTTCTGTTGCTACATGAATGCATTCTCACCCATAAAATCAGAGGGAGACCAGAACATTTCCCTTGATATATACAATGAAGTGTGTACTAGAAAAAGAAAATTAAAGTGTAAAAAATAATACAATATAGGTATAAATATAAATGAATTCATATCCTAAATTCTCTAAACTGTTACTTTCAGTCTCAGCTCTACTCAGAATCCTCCTCACCCTGCCATTTTTTCTCAGGGAACATGAATGGTTTAAACAGGACCTTCCAAAATATCTCTTTCCTGAGGATCCATCATATAGTTCAACCATGATTGATGATGAAGCCTTAAAAGAAGTATGTGAAAAATTTGAGTGCTCAGAAGAGGAGGTTCTCAGCTGCCTTTATAATAGAAATCACCAGGACCCTTTGGCAGTTGCCTACCATCTCATAATAGATAACAGGAGAATAATGAATGAAGCCAAAGATTTCTACTTGGCGACAAGCCCACCTGATTCTTTTCTTGATGATCACCATCTGACTCGGCCCCATCCTGAAAGAGTGCCATTCTTGGTTGCTGAAACACCAAGGGCACGTCATACTCTCGATGAATTAAATCCACAGAAATCCAAACATCAAGGTGTAAGGAAAGCAAAATGGCATTTAGGAATTAGAAGTCAGAGTCGACCAAATGATATCATGGCAGAAGTATGCAGAGCAATTAAACAATTGGATTATGAATGGAAGGTAAGAAAGAAAGAACATTTTTTAAAAAATGTTATTAATTTAATTTTCTTCAAAGCTTTAAAAAATAGCTATCTTAATAAGCAAAAGAGAGAACATTTTGATTATTAGCACACTTGGCAAACCTATAGTCTATAAAAATGTTTTATAGAAGAATTGCTTTTGACTTCATCTTTTTCATGCCATATTCTAGGTTGTAAACCCATATTATTTGCGTGTACGAAGGAAGAATCCTGTGACAAGCACATACTCCAAAATGAGTCTACAATTATATCAAGTGGATAGTAGAACTTACTTATTGGATTTTCGTAGTATTGATGGTATGTACATCACACAAAGCAATGTAGATGATATATTAGACCTTGTTACTTGGTTTTTTAGTCTTTGATTCTTTTGAAGCTTCTTGACTAAGATTTTTTGTTCATTGGAACTGTTGATGTTTTATAGGACCTTAAATGAAATATGAAAAGAAAGTGAAGAGTGGAAAGCACTGAGCTGAGAGTTAGGAGAGTTGAGTTCTAGACATACCTTTCTGTTCATTTGTTACCTTGGGCAAGTCACTTCTCTGGGTTTGTTTACTTATCAATAAAATGAGGGGTTAAGATATTTCCAAGAGACCTTCCAAATATTAAGTGTGTTGACACTATGTTTTTAATATAGGAGAATTAATTTTTATTGCTAGAGAATGATGTTTATTAAGCTCCAGGTTATTAGTTTACTGGGTTCTTAATCTTGGATTGCAGCTGATGAGTAGCTACATACTATACCCAGTCTTGATCAGCCATTACAAGAGTACATACTGTGTGTAAAAAGGAGAGTGGTTTAACATAGGCTCATTGTTATTTGTATTTAAAATAAAATAAACATGCTCTTGATAGCTGGTCTCACTTAAGGAAGCAAATTCAATACTGTTATAAAAATTTTGTGGGTAGGTCATAGACTATAATAAATTGAAATTTTTTTTACCCAGATGAAATTACAGAAGCCAAATCAGGGACTGCTACTCCACAGAGATCCGGATCAGTTAGCAACTATCGATCTTGCCAAAGGAATGATTCAGATGCTGAGGCTCAAGGAAAATCCTCAGAAGTTTCTCTTACCTCATCTGTGACCTCACTTGACTCTTCTCCTGTTGACTTAACCCCAAGACCTGGAAGTCACACAATAGAATTTTTTGAGATGTGTGCAAATCTAATTAAAATTCTTGCACAGTAAACCTAAAACTTTGCTTATTTCTTTGATAGCAATAAGCATGCATAATAAGTCATAGCCAAATGCTTCCATTTATAATCAAGTTATACATAATTATAACTGAGGATTGGCCTTTGGAATGCAGTTTGCACAGGGATTGGAACATGATTTATAGTTAAAAGCCTAATGTGTGGAAATGAATTAAGATCATTTTGTTGTTCATCGTTCAGTAGACATATAGCATAATATACACAATGGATTGTAGGTCTCTCAGGCTCACTTGAATTTTGGCTATTTTATACTTAGTGTACACAGGGCTTTGAGACTATTAATTTACCATAAAGGCCTTTATATATTATTACATGTTGATGTGTTATATATTTGCTTCATAAATTCATTCAGTAAATATTTGCCTACAATTCCCAGAGACCTTTTATAGGTGATTTTGTTTCCTGGGCTCCTTAACTTATAACTAGTATCTTCTAACAGTAACAACAGTCTGGATAACTTTTTCCATATCTCCCTCTTAAAATTCTATAGTGTGTGGTTGTATCAGATGTTAGGCCCAATTTGAATTTTTTTCTTTAGTTTCATAAAGTCCCAAAACACACAGAATATATATGTTCAGATACTCTAGTGAAAAGTTAATCTTACAGTTTGTCCCACTATATTCTGTACATAAAGTGTTTTTTTTTGTTATTAAATCTGAGTTGCATATACTGTAAATAAATCATGTTGTTTTTGCCAATTTCACAAATCCTCTGGCTTATCATATTAGTCAGTATTGAGTGTATGCAAAAATGTGTAGTCATTTGATTATGTATTTTTAAAGTTGATCCAGTACATAGAAAGAATATTTCTTACAAACTTTAAATGCTTGAATATGACTTTTCCCCCCAAATTTTATTATGAACATTTTTGAGGAAAATTAATATAGGGTGATCACATGTTTATCAACCATTTAGATTCAACAATTGTGTTTTGCCATATTTGTTTTCTCTATACCTATATATGTATAAAGATACAGATATGCGTGTGTGTGTGTATGTGTGTGTGTGTGTACATATATGTTTTTTGTCCTAAACTATTTGGATGTTACAGATATACTTACTGCCCTTAAATACTTTAAGTATTTCCTCAGAATAATGACATTCTCCTAAAAAATCATAATACCAATATAAAATTAATAATTCCCTAATATCATCTAATACTCAATCCATATTTAAATTTCCCCAGTTGTCCTCCAAATTACTTCGATAGCTGGTTATTTCATAGTTCATATTCAAGTTTACATATTGCATTTGGTTATATCTCTTTAGTCAAATACAACATTATTTTGATAAAATGTGGAACAAATCAGTTCTTCTAAATGGTCACGTTTGTTTTGCCTTTTAATTATTTTAAAAAATAAGCATTATGGGAACTGTCTAAAGATATTTAATCTTCCTAAGATCTCTGATTTACATTTATATTTTCTTTTTCTCACTCTTAATAATAGCATCACATAATACATGTAAATGAAGATTTAAAGTCACCTCATATAAAATTGGTATCATGTGTATGCTAAGAAAAAATATTGTACCACTCATATTGCCTTATATTAGCTTCACAATATTGATTTATTTTGGTATTAAGCATTTTTCCCATTGCAACATAGCTATCTTTTTTCTATTTTAAGAATTGTTGTATTTTAGGATCATTTTGGGCAAATGCAGTGAGCATCTATGTAACCAGATGAGAATGTACTCAAATGTCATGATAGCTTGCATAAATGATTACTCTAGTTGCAGATTTAACTCCAGCACCTCAAAAATCATGCACTGAATTCAACAGAAAAATCTTGTTTCTTTTTGTCCAGAGTTTGTTCTATTCAACTTTGAATTTGAAAGCTGTACAAAGTAATAGAAGTTTCATTTAAATATGTGCTCAAAACCTGTATTTATAAATTTTATATGGCCCTCTGGTTTGAGGATATTGATTTCACTTAAGTTCTCTAAATGCAGCATTATGTTCCTGATATTAAGAACAGAAGACTGTATTTTTAAAGTTACAGATTTGTATATAGAACTAAATAATGTCTCTATAAGCTCTTGGGAGAGGGGAAGAAAAGGAGGAACCAGTTAAATAGGACCTTCTAAAAATTGTTAATTTTGTAAACTTTGCTTCATTTATAAGTTATTGTGATTCCTTTAGTGAGATTTATTTTGAAGATATTTAAATATTGCACTTGTACAAATAGTATGATAAATGCACAGATTATTGCAGTAAATTCTTTTTTAAGCTTGGATATTTGAAATAACTTTTGGTTAAGTGTGTCAAGGTTGCAACAGGACTTTCACAAATTTATTGTAGTTTGCAAATTCTTACCAATATTGAAGAGGTAAGGGGAGTGAATGCAAATAATTTTTAATCTTTTTTTAGTATCTTTTCAGCAATTTATATTTTTTGTGATTTTATGCAACCATATTTTTACTTTGTCTTGACAACTGAAAGATGTATAAGGTTTTGCCAGAAATGTACTGTATACATAGTTTTAAATATAACAGATTTTACTGATATGTAAAAATTTTGCCATTAAAATAATTGATTTCTCATTGAGAGGAACTTTTCTACCAGGTTGGGGCATATGGGAGCTTAATATATCAGATCTAATTTAAAGTAATTTCACCAAAATAAACTCCATTGCTCTTTATTTTTTTTTCTTAATATGCTTTTATAGTTTTTCAGAATTTTAGATGATTTTATACAAAATCCTTCCCTCCTTGCCCCTCAGTACCCTTTTTGCTCTTGTAGTGATGCTGTCAAACACTGAATTAATATTTGGTGTAGTCTGTGGCTAGATGTAGAACTCCATTCATCTATGTTCCAACAGGCATCTTTGTAATGAAAGAAAAATGTGTGTTGTCCAAATCTTTTGTTTCTCAATTCCTTCCCCCATTTCTCCATCCACAATAGAAATCTTATTTTCATCGTGAGTACTGACAAGATGAATGAATTCCACATACAACATAATTGTAAAGTGGTAGAAGGTAGATACCAATCTTTGTGGTTCATGTATATTTTGGCCAGAGTATATTTAAATATACAGTTTCAAGTACTTTGACTTAGAAAGATGGTATAATAAAGAAAAATTTCATACTTCATCTGTTACAATGTGCTTGCTTTTCTGACCTCTGGGAAAATGAAATGGGTAAAAAAAGCTTGTTCATGGCTGAATATCTGCGCACCTTTATTTTTAACAGTGTACCTAAATATTAAAATATAGTGGTGGACCACATTTTAGTACTCCAACATTGTGATTTTTGTCTCAACTGAATTAGTTTTGATTTCATACAAAATTCAACCACCTAAATAAAATGTTAAAATATATACAATAAAAGCCAAAGCAGCTATCATTCAACAGTTGCCTGACATTTAGATTTGGTTAGAATTCCACTACTGTTAGAATTCAATTAGTATTAAATTTTGTATCCCTATGGCATTATTAGGCAGGGCTTGTGCTAAATTTCATTCTAGATCTTTAAAACTACAAAAGAAAACAGTGCTAAAGAGTGTTAAGAATAGCATAGTGGAATTTTAGGAGACTGATAAATTGCTCTAGGTGTTTGCCTTGACTGTACAAAATAGTATAAGAAACTCTCTTGTTTGAAACTTCAATATTTTGAGAATTATTTTACTTATTGTAAATATTAATAAACCATTTGATTTATTGTAAATGCCAATAGATGGTAGCTGTGATAAATTTAGAGGATTTTTGGCAACTTAGAATATGATCACGTTATCTATAAAAAGTGTGGGAAATGAATGAAATATATAATAAGCAAATCAAGATCACAGACCAAAGTAAGAGAAATGGTGGGTGAAGTACTAAAACTTAGTGGGGGGGCGGGTATATGCATATATAATGAGTGAGATGTGCACCATCTGGGGGATGGTCATGATGCAGACTCAGACTTGTGGGGGGAGGGGGGAAATGGGCATTTATTGAAACCTTAAAATCTGTACCCCCTTAATATGCCAAAATAAAAAAAAAAAAACTTAGTGGGAAGTAGCCTTTACCAGAGTAGAGGTGAGTCAAGGTTGAGTTACTTGAAAATTAAGGAAAGACCCCTACAAAGGGGTGCATTTTCAAGCACCATTAATTATTCACTCTGCAAACTATCCCCTCATATAGCTACTGTGAACCAATGGCACAACAAATGTGACCATAGACCAATCCTGTTCTGAGCATCTTGTTAGGGAGATACATATTTTTAACACTTTGTATAGAGGTATAACATCAACAGAAAAGTGTACAAATAAACATTTGGCTCAGTAAATTTTTAGTGTTTCAGGTATACAGTTAATGTGGCCATGTAAACCTCTACCTAGATTAAGAAACACTGTTACCACACTAGTGTATTTTATAATTAATATCAGAAGTGATATATTATCACTTCTGCCCTATTCTATAGGTAATACAGAGCAACCCTGGGATGAGAACTACACAAGCATGTGAATCCAGGAGTGGGAATCACTGGAGGCCATCGTGGAGGCTAGCCCAGTTATGCATTGATCATTTTGAAAATAGTGGTTCACTTAGGTAGGTCATACAAATGTTAATGCATCTAATCAAACAATAAAAATAAAAGTCACATCTGATATCTCAAGTGATATCAGAAAAGTCTGGAAGTACTGGGGAGCTGCCAAGATCTTTTGGTGAATACAATTTTTCCAAAATCATAATTTTTGCCTAAAATCTTTATCATTGTCAATACTGTCGATACTGTCAATTGTTTTCCTTTTTTCTTTTATTGAGACAGAGTCTCACTCTGTTGCCTGGGCTAGAGTGCCGTGGCATCAGCCTAGCTCACAGCAACCTCAAACTTCTGGGCTCAAGCGATCCTCCTGCCTCAGCCTCCCTAGTAGCTGGGACTACAGGCATGCGCCTGTAGCCAGGCATGCCTGGCTAATTTTTTCTATATATTTTTGGTTGGCCAATTAATTTCTTTCTGTTGTTAGTAGAGATGGGGTCTCACTCTTGCTCAGGCTGGTCTCGAACTCCTGACCTTGAACAATCCTCCTGCCTTAGCCTCCAGAGTGCTAGAATTACAGGCATGAGCCGCCGTGCGCCCAGTCTTTCAATTGTTTTTCTTGAAGTAGTAGGTTCCCTGTGTTCATTTTCGAGAAGTCTGTCAAATAGCCAAGTCTGAATAGCCAGATTGTAAGTCGTTCTTGTAAATAAAAGTTATGTTCTATGAAAAAAGTATCTAGTTTAGAATGCGATCTCACAAATACTTCTCTTTGAGACATTACACTTCATCATACTCTAGTAAGTACTTTATGAGGACTTACTGTTTTTTGACACAAGATATTAAGTGTACTCAAGGGTTATTCTTAATAATTTTTACAGCTTCATTGAAGATATGCTTGAGTGAAGGCATTCATTTTTCTTACTGTGAGTGTGTGTGTGGTGGCGAAGAATACAATGACTACGAGTTTGGTGTCATTACCATGATTCCTGCTTGAAGGGCCAGCAGTTTTACCCACGGTTGCTTTTCCGTCATCAGTGCAAATGCCAGTTTTGTGAAAAGGGCAAAATAATGCCTTCATATTAGTATGGCAATACTTTTGGCGTTGAAAGGGTGTTTTTCTTCCAGGGTACATTTAACTGGGGAAACCACTGGTTGTCACAATTGGTGGTGGTGGTGGATGTACTGTGTAGAGACTAGACATGCCACTAAGCGCCTTACAATGCACAGGATGCCCTCTTCCCCCCTCAGAGAATTAGCCAGTTCAGAATGTTAATAACGCTGAGGTTGAGAAAGCCTGATCTCCAAATATGGGTCTCCTTTTGCAAAAGATATTAATAGCTACATGGATAAATTGACAATATTAGTTGCTGGTGTTATATCTGCCCACTTATTTATATTCACGACATAACCCACAGACACATTCCGGCCATAATTCTCTCATCTGGGTTCAACTTACTGCTTACTTCCGACGTGAAGCCCACAATTCAGCTATGACCCTCCCTGGTACGCACCCATTGAGTCTTTCTAATAGGGTTTTGCCTCTCTGTTCTCTGCGTCCAGGAGGCCTCATCAGCTAGGTTGCAAACCCCTTTAGGATAAGACCATATCTTAAGCCTTTCAGTTCCCCTCAGAATCTTTTTCCTCGTCCCCGGCTTGCTCTACCTGCCCACAGGACGCGCCGCGGCGGGCGGCTCCTCCCCGCGCTCCTCAGCCGGCGCAGGCGCTTTTGCCCGCGCTCCCCCTCAGCATCCCCGCGCGCCAGACGCTCCCGGCTGCTGCTAGAGGGCGCTCCCGGCCGGGCGGCCCCGACTACGAATCCCAGAAGGTAACGCGGTGAGGCGGCCGCAGTGACATCTGGGATTTGTGGTCCTGGAGGAGGGATTGGCGGATGAGAAAGACTGATAATCTTTCCTTTGCTCGCTCTCGTGGACTGTCGCCCCAGGTGTCGGCCAAATCCGTATCTTGGAAACCACGCATCAAAAGCAGGCAGGTAGGAAGTCGGGCGTGCGAATTTCCGCTTCCGGTGGGCAGCAATGTAAACACGGGATCGCGGGAGTGATTATTAGGTAGCTGGGGCTGCCGGGTCGGCGGTGGAAGCGGAGGAAGAGGAGGAAACCGAGGAAAACGAGGCGAGTGGGTGTTGCTTTAGGGAAGAAAGGAGCTTCAGAAGTCAGAGTTGAAACGCGACGGGGTCTGGCACAGCCGAGGCACGAAGGTTGGTCCCTAGGGACAAGCTAGTCTGGGGGTCGGGCCCTCCCTTGCAGCGCCGCCTGGGAGGCGGCCGGGATGGTGCGGCTTTGACCTTCCCTTCGCGGTGGGAGGGGCGGAGCGGAGCCGCGCTCTCCCCGGGGTTTACGGTATCCGTCCGAGGCTGAGCGCGGGCTGGTGAACTCGCAGGTGACGTCCCGCAGCCTTGATGAGTTTCTTTTTATTATGGTTGACCATTGAAGGGAAAGTCGCTAATACTGGTTCTAATTCTAAATACTGGTTCTAATACTAATTCTCTGTCGCGGTGGTATTTTTGGGTAAATTGTTGCTTGGATTCCTCACCTCCGAATATATCCTTTTACCCGGAAGGATGATGTTGTGATTTCCTGATCATGTTCATCCAGTGGTTTTTCGCCTGCGGTGCTGCATCCTCGGACGCAGTCAAGATAAGCATTCTCTGGTTTGTGGCTCGGTAAAATGTCAACAGTTATTGAGCGCCTACTATAGGAATCATTGTACCAGGACACGAATTTAGAATACGATGTCGTTGTTTAGAATTTTTATGGCATTCTTTAAATAAAATTCTGTATAAAATGTTGAATTTGTCTGGTTTCATGAGTTTATCATGAAACCTTTATGATTGTGATTTACCCCTATGGTTTCTTATCCTGGTGAAACAAATATTAAGTCTAGGATGTTGGTGCCTGTGCATCTAACTATAGATTCAGAAAAGCCTCCTTTATAACAATTTTTAATTTCATATTAAGATAGCCATAGAGGAACAATAAACTTGTACTATTTAGGATGTCTGGATCAATTCAGTGTTAAATTTTCCAAGGCAGAAAGTGTTTTGCATATGTTCTAGGATTCCCACCTCTTTTCAAACCCGGCTAACTTTTATCTTTCAGAAGTTCTCCATGAAGCTTGAAGTGTTTCTTCTCTGACATCATAGCATCCTTTGTTTATTGTCTTGTAGCACTTATCCTGTATTGTAATTGACTGTACTCTTGTGGTGTTCAGACAATTTTGAAGAAAATATAGAAATGTGCCAATAGCCTTGATAACAGATTCATGCTTTTTAATCTCAGTGAGCTTTTGATACTGTTTGATATCTCTTCTCATCCTTTATTGTTGCCTTTTCTAATCTCCACAGTGCCTATTTCACATCTTTTCCATTTTTCTCAAGTGCTGAGATCCATTTATGTTCTCTTTACTTTGAACAGATGAATAGCCTCCTATTTCTTGGAGAAATGTGAAATTTGTGGCATGAAATCCCTCGTTTTCCTTTCCTTCCACCCCTGAACTTTCCTATACTTTCCAGTCAGTATTAACTTCTTTTTTTGTCTGAGAGGAATATATTTTTTCCCTTTCTTCAAGGCTAAACTTCTCAATCGCTAATGTCATCAGGCCTCCTTGTAACCTCATTCTGTCCTTCTAGAGCCTTCGGGCTCTAGAAGATCTCAAGGGATTTGTGGGGGAGACTGCTACAAACACCTGAGATGATGGTGTGTGTGGCTTTTTCATACATGGTTGAGAACCACCACCTGAGTGGGACCTTAACATATGTTGTTCTCAGCAGTTGTAACAGTGGTTTGGGTTGGAAGATGGGGAGGATAATGGGAGTCTGAATGACCTGTTAATTTTTAAAAACATGTTGGTCTGTCTCTCCTCTTTTCCTTTTCTCCCCACTCTATCCCCCGACCCTAATAGTCTGTAGACCTGAACAATGATTTTAAATGTAATTTGCCTTCAGTAAACACCAGATTAGTATTAATAGTGTTAGTATTAATAGTGTTCCCACACTGCCTGATGCCTCATGTTATTAATGTAGAAACAAAGTTCCATTTGGAACTTACAGCCAGAAAACTTAATCATCATTCCTGTTACAGTTAGGGACAGTCATAAATACAAGACTTTCTTATCTTGTCCAGATAGCTTGTGAGGCCTTCCTAACAATCCATTCTCTCAGGATGTCCTCACTCTGTGCTTCTGAACTTCCATTCCATAGTATCCACACTTACATTTTCAGCAATTTCCTGGTTCTTCCCCGAAGATATTTGTAGTCATATTCAAACATAGGAACTTCATTCACCTGTATTATGACGAATCTTGGGAGAAGTTTCTGTAAAAATCTCTTCTGTGGAAAGCATGTGGTTCACCCATATCAGCCCATATATTTCTTTCTTTCTTTTTTGGGGGGGCTGGGGGAGACAGGATTTTGCTATATTCCCTAGGCTGGTCTCAAAACTCCTGGCCTCAAGCTATCCTCCCATCTTGGCCTCCCAAAGTGCTGGGATTACAGGCATGAGCCACCAAACTCAGCCATAAATTTTTAAATTATTATTAATTTTTAAGAGAGCCCGTATGTTCCTTGATTGCTGTGATTTATTGGTGCTTCCTCATATTCATTAAGAACTTAGGTGAATGACTCACAGTTTTTCTTTTATCCCTCAAAATTGTGCTGTTATTGTTGGCCTTTCTATATGAATGACCTCACAGCCAGCCTCACTGTCTCCTTGTCCTATAGATTTGTTTTATTGTTCTTTGCTTTATTGTGCTTTGCAAATATTGCTTTTTAACACATTGAAGGTTTGTGTCATCCCTGCTTCAAGCGTGTCTTTTAGCACCATCTGTCTAACTGCATGTGCTCATTCATGTCTTTGTATCACATTTTGGCAAATCTTGCAATATTTCAAATTTCTTCATTATTATTATATCTCTTATGGTGATCTTTGATTAGTAATCTTTGATGTTACACTTGTAAATTATTTGGGGATGCCATGAACTGCACCCATATGTGATGGTAAACTTAATAAATGTTGTGTGTGTTCTAACTGCTCCACTGACTGGCCATTCCCCATCTCTCTTTTCCTCTCCTTGGGCCTCTCTATTACCTGAGACACAACAATATTGAAATTAGGGGCAGTTACCAACCCTACAATGGCCTCTAAGTGTTCTAGTGAAAGGAAAAGTGACCTGTCTCTTACTTTATATCAAAATAGAAGTGATTAAACTTAGTGAGGAAGGCATGTTAAAAGCCAGGGTAGGCTGAAAGCTAGGCCTCTTGTTAGCCAGTTTGTGAATGCAATGGAAAAGTTTTTGAAGGATATTAAAAGTGCTACTCCAGTGAATACAGGAATGATAGGAAAGCGAAACAGCTTTATTGCTGATATGAAGAAAGTTTTAGCAGTCTGGATAGACGATCAAACCAGCCACAACATTTCCTTAAGCAAAAACCTAATCTATAGCAAGGCTCCAATTCTCTTTATTTTTGTGAAGGCTGAGAGAGATGAGGAAGCTGCAGAAGAAAAGTTTGAAACTAGCAGAGGTTTGTCTGTGAGCTTTAAGGAAAGAAGCTGTCTCCATAACATTAAAGTGCAAGGCGAAGCAGCAGGCACTGATGTAGAAGCTGCAGTAAGTTATCCAAAAGATCTAGCTAAGATAATTGATGAAGGTGGCTATACTAAGCAACAGATATTTAACCACTTCTATACGAGCGTCACTTATAGTCTATAGCCACAGATGAACGCCATAGCCAAGCATCGACTTTAGCGTTAATAACAAAACTTGACTTTTCTAATTTTTCATTTATCAAAATAAAATTGTGAACATTTAAAAATAATGTTACAAAAACATATATGTATATGTTATCTATTCTGATTTACATTACAAGTAAAGCTGCCTGTAAAGTAAAACAAGCTTTCGGTGCTTTAAAGCTTTCCTTATCACACAAGAGCAAAACGGATTCGTCGTCAATGCCCAGCGCAAACTATCGTGCAGACTATGAGTGCTGGCTGTGGGCAAGGTTTTGTGGCTGGTGTGCGCCCCCTACTGAAGTGGTTAAGGTAGATGAAACAGCCTTCTGTTGGAGGAAGATGCCATCTAGGACTTACAGCTAGTCAGTGCCTGACTTCAGAGCTTCAAAGGATAGGCTGACTTTCTTATTAGGGGCTGTTGCAGCTAGGAACTTTAAGTTGAGCCAGTGCTCATTTACCATTCCAAAAGTCCTAGAGCCCCTAAGAATTATACTACGTCTCCTCTGCCTTTGCTCTGTAAATGAAACAACAAAGCCTGGATGACAGCACATCTGTTTACATCATGGTTTATTGACTATTTTAAGCACACTGTTGAGACCTACTGCTCAGGAAAAAAAGATTCCTTTCAAAATATTGTTGCTCACTGACAGTGCACCTGGTCACCCAAGAGCTCTGTTGGAGATGTACAAGGAAATTAATGTTGTTTTCATGCCTGCTAACATAACATCCATTCTGTGGCCCGTAGATGAAGAGTACTTTTGACTTTCAAGTCTTATTTTTTAAGAAATACATTTGTAAGGCTATAGCTGCCATAGATAGTGATTTCTCTGATGGTTCTAGGCAATGTCAATTGAAAACCTTCTGGAAAGGATTCACCATTATGGATGCCATTAATTGGTACCAATATCATTAAAAGAAGAATAAAAAAGAGAGAGGCCAGGCACAGTGGCTTACGCCAGTAATCCTAGCACTCTAAAAGGCCAAGGCGGGAGAATCACTCAAGGTCAGGAGTTCAAGACCAGCTTGACCAAGAGTAAGACACTCTCTACTAAAAATAGAAAGAAATTAGCTGGACAACTAAAAACATACAGAAAGAATTAGCCGGGCATGGTGGCATGTGCCTGTAGTCTCAGCTACTCGGAAGGCTGAGGCAGAAGGATTGCTTGAGCCCAGGAGTTTGAGGTTGCTGGGAGCTAGGCTTAAACCACGGCACTCTAGCTTGGGCAACAGAGCAAGACTTTGTCTTGGAAAAAAAAAATAAAATAGTGCTAAGAACAAAAAATAAAAAAAATAGATGTCATTAAGAACATTTGTGATTCATGAGAGGTGGTCAAAATAGCAACATTAGTAGGAGTTTGGAAGAAGTTAATTCCAACCCTCATGGATGACTTCAAGAGGTTTAAGACTTCAGTGGAGGAAGGAACTGCAGATGTGATGTGGAAATAGCAAGAAAACTAGAATTAGAAGTGACACTTGAAGATGTGAGTAAATTACTGTAATCTCATGGTAAAACTTTAATGGATAAGGAGTTATTTTTTCTGGATGAGCAAAGAAAGTGGTTTCTTGAGATGGAATCTACTCCTAGTGAAGATGCTGTGAACACTGTTGAAACAACAAAGAATTTAGACTGTACTGTGTAAATTTAGTTGATAAATTAGTGGCAGAGTTTGAGAGGATTGACTCCAATTTTGAAAGTTGTTTTGTGGGTAAAATGCTATGACATAGCATTGCATGCTATAGTGAAATTTTGTGAAAGGGAGAGTCAGTTGATACTGCAGACTTCATTGTTGTCTTATTTTAAGAAATTACCACAGCTACCCTAGCCTTTAGCAATCACCACCCTGATTGGTCAGCAGCCATCAATATCCAGGAAGGGCCCTCCATCAGCAAAAAGATTAGGACTTGCTAAAGGCCCAGATGATCAGCATTTTTTAGTGATAAATTATTTTTAAATTGAGGCATGTGCATTGCTTTTTTAGACATAATGCTATTGCATACTTAAGAGACTACAGTATGGTGTAAACATAACTTTTGTATGTACTGGGAAACCAAAAAGTTTGTGTGACTCGCTTTATTGTGATACTTGGTTTATTGAGATTACCTGGTACCGAACCCATACTGTCTCTGAGGTAGTCCTGTACTTATACTTCACTTGACCTGTGTGCATCAGTGATTAAGACCTTGATATCTGCTAAAACTTATTTGCTGTCCCTTCCTTATGTGCCCACGATGCCCGTCGTAGTTTCATAAAGACTTCTGGTTCATTGTTTTACCCCATTTCTCTAGTTAATCAGATCATAATCTCCTTGGAGCTACAGACTACTTTAAGGAGGTCATGAAAGCTTAGACACTCTTCTCCAGAATGCTTACAGGCATAAAAAATTTACATACAGGCTTACACAGCGTGTGGCTGGCGACGTTAGATAGTGCTCGTTTTACTTTCTCTAACGGGAAAGCAGCAGATTCCAAGAGACTTAACTGTATCTGCCTCTATTTCTAACTTAAGTTCAACTTTTGCTTACAAAAAAAAAAAGAAAATTTTTATTAGTCCTTTTTAAAAAAGATAATATAAAATTATAGCAAAAAAAGGAACTTAAGCTGTATGTAGTAATTCGGCTGGAATAGTCTGTGGCGGCCGCAGAAGCAGGGGTTTGTTTAATTTAGTTGATTTTCTGTGGTTCTTGATTGGTTGCTCGTCTCAGGGTGGTGGAAGCTGTACATTTTTTCAAAGAAAACAAGAAGCTGCTGGAGGTTGGTTTTCCTGGCAGCAACCCGATGCAAACCAAGGATCTGGGGATCTTTTCATTATCCCAATATCTAAGTGGGATATACTTTTGAAGGATGTACAATGTTCAGTCATAAGTGTGACAAAAATTGATAAACAGGAAGCTTATGTACTCAGAGTAGCATGTTTGTTTCCAAGAGATGTTTTATTTTAAAGACATACATTAATAGTACCACTATTTTGCCAAAAGCACTGGTTCCCCTGTTGAAGCTTGCAATTACAATGGGTTTGACCCAATTCAAAGCTTTTATTCTCATAAGAATTTCATGAAGCCTTCTCACCGAAAGTACTAAGACCAGAATTTACAGGAAGAAATAGAGTTTCTTAATGTAATTTTCCCAAATGGAGCAACATTGTAGGGGACATATGAATTCTGATTGTTGGTAATTATATACTCTGGATTTCCCAGAGAATTGGGTAATTAGCCAGATCAAACCCTGGAAATTCTGATGAGTGAGTTTGAACCAACAGTTATGGACAATTCCTACATGAAACATGGTGTTATTGCAAAGAATGTCACATATGAGTAGATTTAGTGACCTGATACCAGGTTCTGTCATTGATGCTGTACTGTTCAGTGCTTATGGGTATTCGATGAATGGAATAAAATTGGATGGAACTTATCTATCCAATCAGAACCAGGATTTTCTTATGTTTGCTTTGGAACAAATTTAATTCATACCTCTTATGATGACTTGGTCAGGAAAGTTTGTGACCACCTTGTTTGTTAATCAGAGTTCTAAATGTTATACAGTGCTTTCTTTCTTTATCCCAGAAGATCAAAGTTTTTACATATCTTGATTGTCAGAGTGCTACTGATTACAATTTTGTTTTTACCAGTTTTGCTAAGAAGCAGCAGCAGCAGAGTTGATTAAGAAAAGTGAAGAAAAAAAGCTAAAAAGAGAACACACAGACGATGGTGGCTGCTTTCTAGACATTGATACCAGGGGCCTTGCTTTCCATAACTACCTCCTGGTAGTTGAGAAAAAGCCCCAGATGTAATGACAGTGTAATCATTTTAAATTACATGTATTGTTATATCAAGGAGTTAGATATCTTGCATGAATGCTCTCTTTTGTGTTTAGGTATTCTGTGCCACTCTTGCTGTGAAATTGAAGTGTGCATGTAGAAAAAAACCTTTTACTATATGAAACTTTGCAATACTTGTAAAAACAATATAGTTTGGTTTATGCACAGTATAATATTTCTCCAAGTATTGTCCAAAATTCCCCAAGACAAGGCTTTCATCCTTATTGGATGTTGGCCTCAGCCTAACCATCTGGGACATTTCTATTAAATTGCTACCAGAATTTTACATGCAGTTACCTTCACTTTCTAAAGTGTATTCTTTACTAATGTTATTGAAATCAACTTCTACTTCATATAGATCTTTTTTGCAACAACAGTTAAAGTTTTTCTTCCATGAAAAAGAAAATTTACATATAATTTATATACAATTCCAGGGATTTCTCAGTATCTTGAAGCTCATCTATGCACCTGGTAAATTCTTAGATCATTCAGTTAATTTCTTCTCTAAATATCTGTTGAATTCTTCCAGGATTTTCTTTAACTTTGTTCTATTAATTATTCTCCCTCTTTTTATCCCTTACATTTGTATGTCATTGCAGATTTACAAAGCAGTTCATCATCTGTTATCTTTTTATTTGTTTACCTAATAATTCTGTGACTTAAGTCATTTAGCAAGTTTGAATCTTTTAAGACCTTTTTATTATGGAAAAATCTCAACATATATGAAAGGAGAGAGAAAACTACACTGATCCCCATGTACTCACCACCCAACTCCATCAATCATCAGTTCAAAACAATCATATTTCATCTTTACTGCATTCCTCACCCCCACTGATTACTTTGAAACAATTCCTAGATATTATATAATTTCGTATGAAATATTTCAGTATGTATCCTTAAAAGATAAGCATTATTTTTGTAAACATAATCACAATACTGTTAATACACCTAAAGAAATACAGCAGTAATTCCTTAATATCATCAATTATTAAATGTGTTCTGATATCTCCTATTTTTCCTTCCCTATTAGTTTTTTTGAATCAGGAGTGAAACAAGGTACATATATTATGTTTGGTTAGTATATCTCTCTCTCTTTTTTTTTTCATTCTGAGACAGGGTCTCTTTCTGTTGCCTGGGCTAGAGTACAATGGCATCATCATAGCTCACTGCAACCTCAAACTCCTGGGCTCAGGCAATCCTCCTTCCTGAGCCTCCTGAGTAGTTGGGAGTATAGGTGCTCACCACCATGCCTGGCTAATTTTTAAAATTTTTTGTAGTGATGGGGTCTCACTATTGCCCAGGCTAGTCTAGAACTCTTGGGCTCAAGCGACCCTACCACCTCAGCCTCCCAAAGTGCTAGGATTACAGGTGTGAGCTGCTGTGCCATGCCATATGTCTGTTAAGTCTCTCTTAGTCTAGGAGTTACCTCTCTTCTTTCTCTTCTCTTTTTTTCCCTGACAGTTTATTTCTTGAAGAAACCAGTTTTATTTTTCTTTAGTTTTCTGCTGTCTGCATCTCTGATGTGTTACTGAGCATGTTTACCTCTATCCCATATTTCTTATAAACTGGTAGAGAGGTCTGATCTGATTTAGGATTAATTTTTACAAGAGTACCTTGTGGGTGGTATGCCACTTCCATCAGGAGGTGCATGATGTCCTGTTGTTTCTTACTGGTGTTAGCAGCCATTTGGTGATTGTTGCCTAGATCCACTAATTAGGGATTAAAAAATGGTGATAATCTAATCCTTTTATTTCTTCTTTACCTATTAGTTGGAATACTTCTATAAAAGGCCAAGTTTGTTTTAAACCTGTTTCTTTGTGATTTTTCCAGAATGGCTTCTTTTGGGTGGAAGAGGAAGATTGGTGAGAAGGTCTCAAAGGTCACTTCCCAGCAGTTTGAGGCTGAAGCTGCTGATGAGAAGGATGTGGCTGAAAATGATGAAGGTAACTGGCTTCATGCCATTAAACGTAGGAAAGAAGTTCTCCTTGAAGGCTCTGCTGAGAAAAGTAAACAGCTGAAGGATGAAGGAGCCAGTTTGGCTGAAAATAAAAGGTACGTTTTTAGAATTTTCTTATGGAGAACAGTTTATTTTTTTAACTCACTGTCGGTAATGGGATGAAGATTTATGAATCTGAGAAATCCATGGTTTTAAAATCTGATCTAGGAGCTAAACTAATCAAACAAATAAGGTGTCTCAAAATCACATGAAAATTCTCATTTTCAGGGATAGTTTATAAAATAGTTTTCAGGATGCTTACTTCTGCTTTACCATTATTTATTTATTTTTTTGTCTAGAAGAGTAAATTCTAAGTCAAATATAATCCAACTCATTGGTTAGTATATGGTCTAATCTCTGGAAATTTTCTCCTTATGATGTTATGTGCCAGATGAATTAGGCATTTCCTGAACAGCCTTGAGAACATACATATATTTTTAAAAAAATAGGTATTCAGTTATTCTTTTCCAATTACTTCTTATATACTTTAGTAAATATGATTTGGTGCACAGGAATTTGATAATAGCTTCATTTATTCATAGCCCTTCTTTAGCTAAGCTCTAATACTGCCGTTATATGCACCTATTTCTTTTTTCCTTTGTTCTTTTTCTTGCTTTTTTACTCCTTTTCCCCTTCTTCTGCTTAGATTTTTAAGTGGGACCAGAAATCATTCTTCTACAAGTTAGTGGAGAGAAGACAAATTTTTTAGTAGATTGTGTTAACAAAACTGGATTACTATGTAGTGGAAAATAAAACTGAATCTATATCTAATGCTACACACAAAGATGGACCATAGAGGCATTAAAATCTAAATGTGCGAGGTAAAACTATATAGTTAATAGAAGAAAATATTAACCTAGGGTGGAAAAGGACATTTTTTATTTTTTATTTTTTTTTTTTAATTTTTATTTATTTATTTTTTGAGACAGAGTCTTGCTTTGTTGCCCAGGCTAGAGTGAGTGCCATGGTGTCAGCCTAGCTCACAGCAACCTCAAACTCCTGGGCTCAAGCGATCCTTCTGCCTCAGCCTCCCAAGTAGCTGGGACTACAGGCATGTGCCACCATGCCCGGCTAATTTTTTCTATATATATATATATTAGTTGGCCAATTAATTTCTTTCTATTTATAGTAGAGACGGGGTCTTGCTCTTGCTCAGGCTGGTATCGAACTCCTGACCTCGAGCAATCCACCTGCCTAGGCCTCCCAGAGAGCTAGGATTACAGGCATGAGCCACCGTGCCCGGCCTAGACACAAAAATTCTTAACATCTGCTCTATTTTCCTACACACCTGTGTGCACGTAAACAGTTGAATATTTACAGGTTTTTTTGCTGACCCATTTGAAAGTAAGTTGCATGCATTATGATACCTACCCCTGATTCAACATGTTTCTCCTAAGAATAAAGATATTCTCTCACCTAAAATACCATTATCAAACTTATGAAAATGAATAATTCCATAATCTAAGACCAGTTCATATTTAGGTTTTTCTAGTTTTCTCCCAAATGTCTTTTATAGTGTATAGTTTTTAAAACCAGGATCTAAACAGAGTTCACACATTGTGTTTAGTTATAATGTCTCTGTAGTGTCTTTTAATCTACTTGGAGCCCCTACTTTTATCCCCCATGATATTGACTTTTTGAAGAGTCCAGAACAAATTTTCTATTTTACTGTTTCCTTGGGTATGTCATTTAATTTGTTCATCTTATACTTGTTAACTGAAATTAGGTGTGGCGATTAGATTTAGATTCCAAACATTTATATGTCATAGATAATGTTTGTGCTTTATAGTGCATCATATTGGGAGGTAAATAATATCAGGTTGCCCTCTATTAGTGCAACCATTGCAAAGATATTGTGCCTATGTCTGTCTATTTGCTGTGTTTGATGTCTGTTGGGAGCCATATTTTTTTTTTTTTTTTTGAGACAGAGTCTCGCTTTGTTGCCCAGGCTTAGAAATGAGTGCCGATGGCATCAGCCTAGCTCACAGCAACCTCCAACCCTGGGCTCAGCGATCCTTCTGCCTCAGCCTCCCAAGTGGCTGGACTACAGGCATGGCGCCACCATGCCCGGCTAATTTTTTCTATAATATTATTTGGCCAATTAATTTCTTTCTATTTATAGTAGAGGACGGGTCTCACTCATTGCTCAGCGCCTGGTTTCGAAACTCCTGACCTCGGAGCATCGCGCTCTGCTCGGCTCACCAGAGAGCGTAGGATACAGGCGTGAGCCACCGCGCCCGGCCTGGGAGCCATATTTTTATAGAAATCTTAAAGCATTTGTTCTTGGTAAAGAAAATATATTAGGAAAATTATACTTGACAGTATGAGAACTGTTGATTTGCACTAAATATATGATATTTAGAAGATGGTATGACCAGCAGGGAGTAGAATCTTTGGTCGGGATAGAGTACTCTTCAGATGATCCAGAGATCTAAAATCAGGCCTGTGTGCCTTTGACTGGTAGCTTACATGTGTTATTGAAGAGTTTAAGAAATAAAAAGAAAATGAAGTAGTATTAAGCAAGAAGCACTTTTTCTTTGTTCTTTTTTCTCTTTCTTTTATTTTAAACCGGTGAAGTAGTTATAAGATTCCTTGTTAAAAATTCTTCTCATAAATGAGTCAAAGTTGAGGAACCGACATATAGTTTCTAGGTCTGCTTTTGATTCTGGGGTACTCTTTTATTTTTAATAGAATGGTTGTATTTTAAAACTATAATACGAGTTAGCATCTCAAATTGGGAGTGAAGGGTAGCAAATAACAATCAAGATCAATTAATCATAGCAGCTCAATGTTAGGTTGTGAATTTTAGGCATAAAGATTTTTCTCTTGCAGAACTTTGCAAGATTGACCATTCTATCTTAGAAGAAAACCACTTGTAAATTTTCCACATTTATGAAATTACTTTCAGAACAGTCATAAAACATCTTTAGAAATTCCTGTAAATGCCTGTTAAAAGTTCATTAACTTTGTTGTTTTTCTAGACCACACTAGTGTGTAGAAGGGAAAAGCTATTCAGTTATTGCCATGGGATTCCCTCTGAATTTCCTGTGGTACAGGAGAGATATCAACTTTGTAGACAAACAGAATAACTCATGTTTTCTGCCTGCATGTCAAAACATTGAGTCATTTCACTAATATCAGCTGGATTGGATGCTTTATTTTAGATGGATAATACTGTGAGATGATTAAGTTTTTTGCTCTTCAGCATTTGTTTTGGTATAATATATACATAGCTTTAGAAAATAACTAAACAGAATTAAAGGAATCTAATGGAATTGAGTAGTTTGGCTACTCTAAGTCAAAAATAGATATAATAGTTTAAAAATATGTAAGAGAATATTAAACTTGGTTGAAAGAAATATAGGGAAGAATAGTGAAGTTAAATTAAAAAAATAAAACTCACTTCTTGTCTAGCAAATCAGTGTCATCTTGAACTACTCTCATTTTCACTACATTTTAGTCACATTGGCCTTCCTTGTTTTTTTGAACCCAGTTATACAACTTTTTGTTGTAACTCTTAGTCTGAAAAGCTTTCCTTTCCTAGTTCTTTTTTTTTTAAATTAGAGATAGGGTCTCACTCTGTCTGTTTCCCAAGCTGGAGTACAGTGGCAGAGTGGCATGATTACAGCTCACTGCAGCCTCAAACTCCTGGGCTCAAGCTATCCTCCTGCCTTAGCCTCCCAAGTAGGTGGGACTGTAGATGCGTACCACGACACCTCACTAACTTTAAAAATCTTTTTGTAGAGATGGGGTCTTGCCATGTTAGCCAGGCTGGTCTTGAACTCCTGAAGCTATTCTTGCTTGGCCTCCCGAAGTGCTGGCATTACAGGCATGAATCATCACTCCTGGCCTATTCTATTTTCCAATACTTGTCTTGTTCTTCAAACTTCTGCTCTCCTATCGTCTTCTCAGCAAGCCCCTCTCTTAATTACTCAGTCTGAAGTAACATCTCTGTCCTCTTTCCTAATCACATCATGTTTTAGTATTTAGTATGACTTCATGTTTGTTTCTTTTAGTATTTCTCCCTTTTTGAAGTTACCTTATATACTTAGTTATTTGTTTGTAGTTGTTTCTCCTCTGTAGAAATGTAAGCTCCAGGACAGTAAAGAATTTATCTGACTTGTACTATATCTTCAGCTTTTAGAATAATTTTTTGGCACTTACTAGGCCTGCCATGAATATTTATAAAATGGCCATTTGTTTTTGCTATTTTATGGCTAAATAAGTTTTTGTGGGCTAGCTAATGCTTGCTGCATTGTATCTATAGAATATAAATTTTTAAACTTCCAGTTAGAATAGCTGCAGTTTACTGCATTATATCTATAGAATACACACTTAAATTCCAAATTAGAATATGATATTCTGAGAACATATTTTATTTCATACCTTAAATACAATGGACCTTTGGAATAAAACTTTCCTATCCTACTCCTGCATGAGAATATGGCACATAAGAAGAATTTCTCTATTCTGAGTCTCATTCATTTAGCTATAACCCATATTCTCCGCATTCCCCCATTGTTTTGTGTAAAAAGGCTTTATTTATAAATAAGAAAATAACAGCATATTTTACAATATAATGATTAAGGGCTTGGGCTTTAGAGCCAGTTGGCCTTGTTCCTTATCCTAGCTTTTCCATTTACTAGCTTGGTAATATTAGGCAAGTTATTTAGTCTCTCTCTGTTTAGGTTTCCTCTTCTGCAAAAGTACCTACCTCATAATGTGATGATGAAATGAACATACACATGTTATGTACTTAATATGGTAGCTGCCATTAGTACTCAATAAATGTTAGCTATTATCATTATTACTAGTATAATCTCAATTGTTCCAAGGAACAACTGAATTGGTTATATATTTTGGTTATATATTTTTTCACTTGTAATATTACTTGTCTTATGGGATTCTTATGAGGCTGAAATCCAATGATGGATAAAAAATACTTTAAAAGATTAGGTGTGAATTTCTACTTGCAGCTATGAGAGAGTATCTAGAACTAGATCTAGACAACAAGAAAGTGTAGACCAGCTTTGAATTTTGAATTGGTAATAATCCT